TTGTGGAACTTAAAATACACTGTGAATACCATACAAACATAGATTATATGTCAGAATGATCCATTAGCAGTCAGTAAGAGCACAGCATCTTTCCAACAAAGCAGCATCATTGTAAATGTGTCATTTTACTCAGATGTCTGTGGTGATAAAAAATAAAATGTATCTCTTAGGATTAACACTTTATAAAGCATAGCTAGAGTAAGTTTGGGTTTCAGATAACTACAGTTTGGTCTACTGTTATTGTCACGTTTATTTGGTGCCAAGATTTTTGGGGGTGTCATAAGAAAAGTTTATATTGGAAAAACAAGACCATGTAATAAATCTAATGTCCGGCAACATGTTGACATGAACTAGTTCTTGTTTTACTGACTGTGCAGTGCAGCAGGGCTGCAGAGCTGACAGCCACGTAGCAGTAATAAATTTGAACATAGGCCGCTGACAGTGAAACAAGGAATATGTCATTTGTCCCCCTCCCACACGCACAGATATTATTAGCATAATTAGATCTTGCAGCTGGGCCATGTTTGTGTACTGTACATGGATGAGTGGGTTACAGTAGTTTGATTTGATTGTTGATGGTTTGCCTGGGCCTGGGTTTCCAGTTTAACTCTGGCCTAAAATTTATCTGGAGCCGCTGCCAGAGCAGAAAAGTACAGATGTATTCACACAACATGACCAAGACATTTCGTGAAGTTAACCCATGAGCTTGGTATCACATGTGGCTGGGTTTCTCTTAAAGAGTTGTTATAATTATGGTTTAATGATCTTGTCTACTTTATAAAGATTTCATCAAGGAGCAGACATGAAGAGTGTATCCTATTCAACTCATTGTGGAAAAACAGATTTTGCACATCTTGTTTATGATTATGCATGTGGTGTGTTGTGATAGCTCTGTGTTTCTGATACAGCCAGTGGAATGAGGGGGGTGCCGTAAATTCTAACTTGTCGAACTTTGGCCTGAGCTGCGATGACTTTTCTGGGCATAGCTAATCACTGTTGACAACAGCTTGAACTGAAAGATGGTCAAAACACTACGCAGCATTAATTACTTGTGTTGCTCAATTTCCAGAACTGCACAACTAACAAGCTAGCCTCATACCGAGGCCAGATGCTGATTATTTCAGCACCGCTGGGAGTTCTGGAGTAGTAAATATTATGCTGAAGATCTCAGAACAATCAGTGCAAGATGCTGATTATGCCTTAAGATAATTGTTTAGATAAAGAGCACTTTAGCTTGCAATTTGCACAGCGACATACACAGTGCAAACATATTGGCAGATCCACTCACAATCACCCACAAACAGACATACACATCTTTCTCTTATACATTTTTTCCCCTGACATTCTTGAAGTAGTGCCAATTTAATTTGCGGTGATTCATTTTCTCTACGGACTCCTTCAGCCCCAGAAGGCGCTGTGACTTTCTGATTTCTAAACAGGTGAGTCACAGGCCACTAATCAAAAGCGACATTTAATAGAATAATAAAAAAACTGAGTAGGTTAAAGTCCAAGTGACTCATACATTATTAGGCTTACAACTTGTGGCTCAGCTCAGTGGGTCACAGCATGCAACCCAACAGGAAGTTGAAATACTTCTCAGATTTCAGAGACATGTATGTTGTTAAACTGTGATGCTGACATTTGATTTTATGCACAGAGGCACAGCTCACATACACATGTAATACACATATGGTATTATCAGCAGTGACACTCAAACTGAATCCAGCTATAACTTCTGCAGTGGATTTACATTTATGATATATTTTATCACTGTGCTCTGGTCTTTAAAAACCCTATAGCGATAGATGCTGGAATTTAAGGTCACATTTTGTTACTTTAAAAGACCATACCAGGCCAGCTGCTTTATTTTTGGAACATAAGGATGGTAACAGAAACCTAAGATGGCTTTAAAATGAGCAGGGTGTTATGTTTGTTGCTGATAAAGTCACGTAACTTATTCTGCATTCTTCTTTCCACAAACAGTACTGAATCAAATCAAACACATTAAAAAATGGTATAAATGAACCGAGAAAGCGTAGTTACTTTGTATTTTATTGATAATGTCCTTGAAATTGCTGGAAATAGCTGACATTCTAGCTGTTTTTGGTTTACTGAGCTAACTAATCAACTAAATATGCCAAAATACATAATTCTGAAAACCTTCAATGCATTTGTCCCAACAAATCAGATGTAAAACAAATTTAGAGATTATTTAAATATATTTAACTTGACTTAGCTTAGAACAGGTGTTTCCATCCTGTGGTCCGCTGCCCCCTGGTGGTACCCAAAGGCATGAAGGTAGTCCCTGACCATTCTATAATATAGTTTCAATCATTATTCTTTTATTTTATTTTTAAAATGTATTTCCATTGTGAATAATCAAATTAATACTAATATATAAAACTGAGATATGACTTTTAACTATTCAAGTAGTGCCCATCCGGTCTATCCACCCCACAACAGTGGTCCTCAAGTTACTTCTTAGGGCAGAGACACATCAAGCTGATGGTCAGCCATCGGCCACCATCAAGTCATTAGTGAGAGTCTGTTGGGGCTCACTGCCTAATGTCCTCCCCCCCCCGCCACTGGCACTAGTCAGACAATGTCGGTGGCTTTTTGGCTGATTCGACATGTTGAACCAGCGTTGGCCCGTTGGGCCTCGTCGGTGAGAGACAGCATTCTGATTAGCTGTTCAGCTCGGTGAATTAATGCATAAGAAGAAAATGGTTTGGATAAGTCCCTTCACCTTGTTGCTGTAGTATCTGTGATTTCACCCATTTAGTGCAGTTTCCCCTCATTTTTCGCCCCCACAACCTCCTTTCTTCTTCCACAACGAAAAACCCAAGAGAACGCCAGTGTTCTTTGCAACTTCTTATCAAAGTAGAAGCAGTTATAAACACCCACTGTTTTGAATGAGAGGCGTTTTCTTGTAGGAGGAGTTCTATCATGCATGTGCTAGTCGGCCATTGGCTGTAGTCTGTGCAATGTGTTTAAGTGTCACTTTTTCAACCCAGCTGGACAAGACAAAGGCGACATGAGGTGCTAGTTCTTTCACGTCGATTTGGTGTGTCTCTGCCCTTAGTCAGAATGATGGCCCCCAGGTCACAGTTAGTTCAAAACCCCTGGCGTAGAACATAAAAAAGAAAATGAATTACCATTATTTATTCAGTGTAAACTATGCTTAATGACAGAACCAAAGTTTCATTTCTCTACTTAAACTAGTTAATGATTTTGATTGTCAACTATTGCTTTCACCAGTTTTCCATTAGTCACTGTGCAGATAACACAGTAACAGGGTATTGGAGGAATGCCATTGGTTTGAAGAGCATAGCACCTCCTTCTGTAGACAACATCTCCCACTGTTTGTCTTGGAACTCCTGTCTAAACTGTATATTTGCAAAGCTGTCAGAAAACCAGCCAATGGTTACAGTGGTTGAGAACAGTGAACAAGATGGTGACAGTGAATTAAATTCACAGGAACCCTGCCAAAGACAACAGCTTATATATACATAATAATGAGTCAACTCTGTATAAAGCACTCTACACAAAACTAAAACAACCAACCATACAAAATGCCACTTTTCCATCTGTTCTGTAGCTGCAGCCCAGTTTGACATGCACCATTTCAATAAACTACATAGTTTAGTTTATGCAGAATTCTTCAACTTCCTGTGGAGAACACTTGTTAAATGCATTCTTGTCTCTGGTGTCATACAAATCAAAGCAGGCCTTGCCGTCTGCAATTTGCTGTCACGTCTGACGTACAATATATACACTGTTCACTTAAATGTGGCCTGTCTTTGTGACAGACTGACATGAGAAGAAAAGCAAATTTTCACACTTCAGTTACTCTATTTGACCCGAGTTCACTCACACAGATGAGTGTACCCGGTAGCACAAAAGCTGCAGGATTACCAGGGAGACTCGGGTGACGTCATCTTAAGTTTCCAATTGGTTAAAAAAGAAAATAATTAATTTGAAGTCTTCCTTTCTTGCTGTCCAGCCCTGCCCACCATGTAACCCAAGAGAAAAAGAAGCACCTTGCAACAAATCCAGCTCCATGTGCAGCTGCTGCTTGCTGATTAAAGGATTTGCTTTTTCACTTTTCCCACACTTCCTTCCAGAGTCTGGAAACCTCTTGCTGTCTGTCTCCTCACTGTCTCATCAATCTCTCTGTCCTTGTTTTTTCTCTCCTTCACTGGTGCTTCTCTGTTATTCCATTCTTTTTTTTCACTGACCCCTCTGTTAGCTCGTCACTGTGCATGTCCTGCGTTCATTATACAGTTGTCTGTTGGCAGTGCCTTACACTAGACAAATAGTTTATCACATAAAACTTTAAAAAGCACTTTTCATGCCATTACTTGGTATAAAGAGGAAGAAACAGCCTGGATTTTTAAAATGAGACGATGAAAATCCTACCAGCATACCTAAAGCTCACCGACATGTTATATAAAATGTTCAACAAATTAAGTATAAAAACAACAGGTTATCAGTTTTTGGGGCTGGAATATTTGTTGGACAGGTGCAGTGACATCCTGCCATATTTATGGTACAGATATGTTTATGTATTTTCTCAAAGTAACTAAATTATCAACAAGTTGCAGCACCCACAAGAGGCATGAGTATGAAAACACATAGGTTCACTTCCCGCACAAATTTCCATGGCACAGTATAATAAATTAAAATAAGAGCTCAGTATTATTACCTGCACTGTTTGCTCATGCTGTTTATCATGACCCAAAGTTCCAGCAGGCTATTTTTTTTATTTTTATGACAGTGACACTACAGTTTTAATCGTTAACTAACTTTACTTCTTTGTGAACACCATAATGGACACCCTCCAGTTTGCAGAAAGCACTTGATGAACAGCGTTTGCAGAATAAACGTTGGAGTTTTCATCATGTCTAAAACAACAAGAAAATTAATCTCTTAAATAAAACGTTTATAGACAGGCCCTAGAAACAATATAAAACAAAAATATTATCTCTAACGTTTCTGTTCACAGTGATTCAGAGCCATGATGTTAACTCTAATAAGCAGCAGCTTCACTCATTATTGGAAAAAAACACAAGGCGTACAGAGTAGACAGTGTCCAGGGTGTAAACAATAAAGTTGAGGATCGTCATGAAAGTGACCACTACCAGTTTATCCCAGGCACACAGGTGGCCACAGTTACTGGGTCTCGTATTGTTATGTAAACTGTACAGTGGCCATAGCACTATAGCTGTCATATACATCGCTGCTGCCAAAATGTTATAGACAATCACCAGCTTGTCAAAGGAGAATGGAAAAAAAGAGGTAAACTGTCCAGTGCTGAGCAAGATTATGACGATGGCAAAGATAAAACACAAGGAGTACACGGCCACACACCACTGCAGCCCCGAGGAACCGACGTACTGGTTGCTCTCCAGGGACGTGAAGATGAGACAGGCCAGGAAGGTCTCCAGCATCTTCAGTATGCCAGGCAAGGTGGAAAGGAACCCGTTGGTCTGTCCACGTGGACGGAGGTGTGTTAGGGCCACCTCACCTGCATACACCCCGAAACAAGCCCAGGACACCACAGCGGCGCCAATCTGGTGGGGGCAGGCAGCGCAGGTGAAGAAGGTTGGGTAGATGATGGAGGCGGCCAGACACATGAGGCACGCCAGCATAGCAAAGGCAGCAGTGAAGTCATCCCAGGCAAAAGGCAGTTTGGTGCTGACAGTTGTGAACTCCAATATGAGAATGAGAAGGGAGAAGAAGCAGCAGAAGCACCAGGTGAACATGCACCACGCCCAGTAGGAAGATAAGACATGTCCCACTGCTGCCACCAGACTAAAACACATGCAGGTGAGGATGGTCGCCATTGCTCGCATGATGCCCACAGGCTGGGTGAGTGACCGCAAATCCACATGGATCATGGCTGGACAGGATATGCCTGTTTAACCTAAAAATGTGTTATTTTGTTTCCAAACTCAGTTTATTCTACATCACCCCGAAACAGCGAGGCCTTGGTTTCTAATCCAGAATGTGCTGAAGAAATCCATGTAAGCAAAATCCTGAGCAGGTGTGTTTTCTTTCAAACAGAAACTCAAAGTGTGTTGCTGTATATTCAAACAGAGCATCCTTATCTGTACAGTTTATGGCCCCTGTTTCACTCCACTGATTGGCCACTGGTCGGTTGTTATCACAGTCACCTCATGGTAGACACACTGAACTCTGGCCCTCGCCCAGTTCTGAAGCTAATCCTCCACCCAGTGATGGGGTGTAGGTCACATCTGAAGGAAAATGGCCCTAAACCTGGTCCCTGAGTTGACTTGATTTATTGTTTCTGGGTGGGACCACCAGGGATAGTTTGAAGGAGGGACAACTGTCATGTCATAGTTCTGTTTCAGGTGCTAAGAAAAGCAGTAGGATGAGCACAAACCACTCACTGAAAACAAACAAGAAACTAGAGTAGGATGTTTCAGTGCATTTATTATCATTTTAATTAGATCAGTGTTTACATAACGTGCGTCCAAAGCAAAGTTTATGTATTATGAAAACCCCGGTTTTGTACATTTCACTAGAGAGGAACAATGAGTTAAAAACACATACACTATGTGACCATTTAACAAGCCTGGCACTTATTCTGAAGAAATGGAGGATATGGCATCTGTCCTTCAATCTGCAGTTTCTTTCTCTCCGTCCCTTCCTCTTGGGTTCATAGGATCAATGTAACATCCACCCCTGAATTCTTGGCTCTTCCCATGTTGACTTTACAGAGAGCAGTAATGCCTGAACTGATCAAAGGTTATAGTATGCACATGGTTATCAGTGATGTGACTGAAATAAGCAAACCAGACTTTCATCCTGACCAGTTACTCCCTTACCTTTGTTACACTGTTAGAAGAAGACTGAACATACAGTGTGTGAACCACCTTTATTTTCATTATCAATAGTGGTAAAATGGTGAATACACTTTTTGACAGTAAGAGGTTTGTTTAAACCATATTATACCACCTTGAAACCATATTTAATTAATATCATAGACAGTAGCTCTTATTGGCCATTGTGGAGACTGGGAGTGGAGGTGTGATAATGAAACGTACAGCTGCTGTGAGTTTCAGGGTTTGAACAACACACCTTTGCAAACATTGTCTGAGCGGGCAGGGCGAGTCCCGCTGTACATATTTGTACATATTTAAAAATTATGATTTATTAACAAGAGCACACAGAGTTTGCAAATGACAATGACTATCAATACTGTCATATCAGTGCTGCATCTAAACAAGAGAATTTATAAACATCAGATGAAAATTACAGAAGAAGAAAAACGAATGGGAAATTGGAATTACATCTTGCTGAATCCAAAAATTAGAAACACCCAGTGTTATGTCATGTTATCAAAAACTGTCAGTAAACCAGAATTTTGGGACCATGATGAAAACTGCATTCAAATAAAATACTGATGTTCAATCTTTGAGGTCTTCAGAGACCGCCAACAACTGAAACACTGCAAACTATGTTCTACTGACGAAGAACACCAGCCTAAATGAGTAAAAGGTATCCACAACATAAGCAATGAGGTTGAAACAGGTCATGAAAGCGATAACCACTAAATTATCCCATGCACATTTAGGCAGATTTGAGCAATTGGGGGGTCTTGTCTTGTTGTTCTGGAAGTTGTATAATGGCCAGATGACCACAGCTGTGATGTACATCAACACTGCCAGCACATTGCAGCATATCAGAACTTTGTCAAATGGTGCTGGGAAGACAGACAGAAGTCGACAGATGGTAAAAATGATAACAAGCAGAGCAAAAATGAAGCAGATGGAGTAGACAGCGACACACCACTGGAGCCCTGGATGTACCCAGTACGCAGAGTACTCCAAGCACATGAAGATGATGCAGGCCACATAGGCCTCCAGGACCTTGAGGAGGCCTGGGACCGTGGACAGGAATCCACTGATCTCACCAGGTTTGGCCCGGGTCAGCCCAACCTCAACAGAATACAGGATGAAGGCCAGGCAGGAAGTAACTGTGGCACCAATCTGTCTGCCGCACGTGGCGCAAGTGAAGAAGATGGGATAGATGATGGATGCTGCTAGCACCTGGATGAGAGAGATATCAGAAGTAGGTGTGACATGATTCCTTCTTTGAGACACTTTATAGCTGTTAATTAAACTTTTTGTTTGTGCAGTAATCATAAATGAACCAAGGGGTGCATTATGGGTACATTTGACAACCATACTGTATAATAATTTTTTGTAATGTAATTTTTTTTAAAATGGTTTAATGCCAAAGTCATTCGATCATGATTATCATTGTGTTCTGGGGAGGTGTGGCTGTAACAGCAATGACAGTGATTTTTCAGATTGTACAGGTGTGAAACGCAGTATGAGCCCAATGAAACATAAAACCAGTGTCTTTGCTAATAATTATGTCCCAGAATTTTGTGGTGTGGTGGATATGGTCATACTGGATTGGCTTACATACTGCATTAGCTGAAAATGTACTTATCTAAATTGGTTCCTCAATTTTGTTTCCCTAAAATGTATTTACTTCTGCATAATATAAGCTTTAAAATCAGCAGTGACAGTAATGTTCACTGATAGCAGCTAGTCGGTCATGTACTTCACCAACAACATGTGGCATGTTCGTCTTGACAACATCTTTAAATAAAGACAAATAACAATAAAGTGAAAAATGACACGCACCATTAGAGCAGCCAGCATGGCGAAAGCCGTAGTGAAGTCATCCCAGGAGATGGGCAGCATTTCATTTAGATGCATGAATTCAAGGAGGAGTATGAGGAAGGTGACGCAGAAGCAGAAGCACCAGGTGAACATGCACCACGTCCAGAAGGAGTTAGTACTGTGGCCCACTGATGCCACCAGGCTGAAGGAGATACAGGTGAGGATCAGGTCCAGTAGCCGCACTATGCCTACCGGCACCGTGAGTGTCCCGAAGTCCAGCGTAACCATGGTGATAGTAATCCTTTGGCCAGTTTAACGGGGTTCCAGAATAGATACTTAATTAGATAATCTCTCACCTCTTCACCAGCTTGTTGTCTCTATTCTTACAATATTTGAATAGCTCTTCGATTTTCATTAGTTCTTGACCCTCATCCTGACAGTGCTGCCTGGACGTCTATGTCAAGACATTTGAAGTTAGGTGAATGTGTAAAGTCTGGCCGCTCCCTTGTTGCCTCCTGATCACACCTTCTTCCAAATATGGCTTGTAACTACATGCGTAATGCATAAGTGTGATGACATATACATGCCATGTTTTTTGCAGAAGAGCAACAGCCTGTTGTTCACTTCCATTTGCTTATCAGTTGCATGAGGCAATAAAATAATTCTGCTATCTTTACACCAGTTGTGTATAACAGGAATTACACCTTATGACACAGGACTCTGGCCTCTCACTTCAGCCTGTTGCTCATCCATTATGTTTGCTAACTTAGCGGCTTCCCCACCCTTCAATAGGTTTAACCTGTAAATGTGTACAAGAGGCCTTGGAGGAATTAAACCTTAGTATATACAGTATAGGAGAGATGGGTGGGGGAAGAGTTTTTTAATGCTAGGAGATCATTGTCCTTCACTGGATTAAAAACCACAGGTGTGAGATACTGCAAAGGGAACAATATCCATGATCTAGGATGTAGGCTTTGGATTTAAGGCCTATAAAATTTCCTCTTGTGTAGCTTTAAACAACCTATTTAACTTGAAATGTGACATAAATCCAATAAGGGCGTTCTGTATTAGGCTCAACAAACTCGGGCTCAATTAAATAGCTTATGTCAATGTATAGAATGGAGACATCTAACTTAAACAAGTCCTACAAAAACTATTTAACTGCTGACAAACATTTTCAGACCTAACAGCAACATCTAGAGGAGAGACAGCATGATTTAACGTCTAAACTGTTAGTGTTTTGATTTAATGAGTGAGAAACCAAAGCTCGCTTTCAACGTTCAGCCGCACCCATATGTTCTTATCAGAGGGAGAGCTATATCTCATGTCCACGGGTGTTATATTATTATAAGAGCAGCTTTCTTCATTTTGATTTATCCATTTGGCAATTTATGTCTTCGGTGTTGAGATGACTCAACTTTCATACCAACACTCAAATGGGAGAGTGGATTTAATAGTTCTTATATGGCAATAATCTGAATTTGGGCTGAATTTTTACATTATTTTTTATTTTTTAGATCAGGCCGGGGTATGATTGATAACCGAAGGGGAACCCCCTCCCTACAAACACCGAGAACAACTGCTTGTAAAACTACTTCTGCACTGCCACAATCATAACCACCAGAGGTTTGTCTTTTGGGTGTTCCACCTTTCCTCATCTAGAGTATTTACTATTTCTTGTAGAAAACAAACAGCTTGCAAAAAACACAGATGGTTTTTCAGGACCCAGAGACTGTGAACAAATATAGCAGCTAGCTTAGAGTTGGTAGTATGTGCTAAACATGAGAAGAACGGCAAAAACTATACAGTTTGTCAGATGTGTTACTGTAGCTTACTGATAATAGAGGCTTCCTAGGACTGGTACTTAAAGCACTAAGTGAACTTCAAGTTCAATTACATCACTGCATATTCTCCTTCCTGGTAGTTAGCAAACATCTTTCTGTGTGCAGTGCATTGTCCATAATAATTTGGCATAAACCTGTTCTACCACACCATGCTGTATCCGGCACATTTCCATCAAAGGATGCACTCCACCTTTCTCTAAATGATTCTTTGTTTGGCTATTGTGTCACACACAGTTGGCGCTCTGTCGGTCACGTCCACGCTCATGGTGAAACAAGGACTCGGTGCCGAACTGTGAAATTAAACCACCTCAGACGTGGTCCCACAGACACGAAGCTGAAGAATCAGAGCAGCTGGTTTCACACTAACATCTTTGGTCCAGTGTGAACACTGAGCCCACGAGTCCCAGTTCCCCCACAGGAAAAGCCCAACACAACGCAGCCACACAGCGGACAGCGTGCTAGCCCAGTTTATTTGTAAAGCACATCAAAAAGCAACAAACACTGGCCACAGACGTTTACAGAGAGATGAAATTATGGGATTGTTTGATTGGTGATTATAACCAAGTGAAAACACAGGAGTGATCTAATAAAACTGAATCAGGAGGGTTTACATGAACAATACAGGATATCTGGACTAAATCATACAAACACAACATGGCAAACAAAGGTTAAAGAAACTGGTTTGTCTGAATTGGTGGGTTGGTCGTTTTATTTCAGCATCACAACAAAAAGTCTGGACCAGTTTCCTGTGACTGTCAACTGTGCTTAGTGTAGACCTTGATGACTCAGACTCAGGTAATGGAGACTTGACTCAGACTCGAACACTGGGGACTCAATACTTGACTCGGGCTCTGCCCCGTCTGTGTGGCAGCTTGGCTTTTCAGAAGTGTAAGCTGCAATGGCCGAGTGGTTAAGGGGTTGGACTTGAAATCTAATGGGGTCTTCCTGGACAGGTTCGAATCCTGCTTGTAGCGGTATTCATTATGGGGTGGAGAGCAGTTGAAGTGTTAGAGCCTTCAGTGTGAGTTGGTGCAAATGGCTCCCTCGGTTCTGTACTGGAAACCGCACCTTTCACATTAAAGCTGAGTTGTTTGAATGTGTAGCTGTGAATTTCATTTGTTCCTGTGATCAAACATAACACTACCGATCTGCGTCACTTGTTGGACAGTGGAAACACTTCTCATCCTATTTTTGGGTTTGATTTTACATCTGGAGTATTTTATTCCATTTCAGGGTCTGTCAGAACCTACTGCTAACAATCACCACCAACTGAAGGTGATTATTGTAATGTGGGTGAGTCACCACTGGAAATGGGTAACATCTCTATGATACACCCTGTAAAAAGCTTATCCAGATTTTTTTTTTTTCTATGTCTTCAGCAGCTTGTCCTGGTCTGTTGTTTGTGTTACTGTGCATCATTGACTGTAGTTTATATACACATATAACACAGTGACTAATATTATAACTAACATTCTGATGTGGAGCAGAGTAATCTTTATTTTCCTTCTTAGTTTATCATGTTAATATGCTAACACTTGCCGATTAACACAAAGCACAGCTGATGCAAGTGTTTTAGTTAGTTATTTATTCATAAACTAAAATAGCGAACTGATAACTGATGATTTGGTGTAATGATGAAAAGTAAGGGGATCGCTTATGTTTTTACAGTTTATCTAGATGGAAACATGAATGTGTGAACCAAACATTTCACTCAGACACAAGTGTGAAACTCATAGTGCTTCTAGAACTAATGATTAAGAAAACCATATTTGTCCTACACACAATAAGCACAAATGCTCACCATAAGCCATTCGTTCTCCCATGCTAAGTGGAGATCACATTATGCAAAAAAATTTTAGCTTCTAACATTATAGCATTTAGCTCAGGATACATAAAATTGTCTGCCTTAACCGTTAAACTCATCTTTTCCTGCTTTGTAGCCAGATTAAAAAATTCTAGTGAGCTTCTTTCCCAGCTGATGTGGCAAGGCATTATCAGGGACAGATCTACTCTATGTAGCTACGGTACAGGAACAATCACTGGTCATACAGGGCCACAGGGTTCCCACGATGAAGATACAGTTGGATCATTGGGAAAGGCTAAATTCAGAACGTCTGTCCCAGCTGAAATTTACACTTCAGTCATCAATCAAAACAGAGCTATAGAGGCACATGGGTCAAATAGCTCCTAATGTTCCCACAATAAAATGGCTTCCCCAAGTCATCTGGGATTTTGAGAAGCACCCCTTTTTATTTATCAGCTACCCAGTTCAGTGCAATGCTACATTCAACCCAAAACCGGAGTCAGCGAGAACTACAGTACTCCCAGGTTTATGTTAAAATGGTCACCAGAGGGCAGCAGAGCAGCAATGGATGAATATCACAATGGGTGCACATTTACGGGTGAGGTTCATTGGTGTATTGGTGCAAAATGTATTTTTTGTATTGTTTTGTGTTATTTTGTAAAACACATTTGTTAGCTGTTGTTTTTAAATGTACTATATAAATAAACTGACATTGACACTAAGGTTTTGCAGCAGTAAAGACACGTCCTCCACAGTAAAGTCTTTATTGTTCACATGTGTGAAACTGTGAAAATTGTTCTGGACAACAAATTTAGTGGTAGTGATTAGAAATCAGAAAACAAAGAAATTCCAAGATTTTCCAAACTATAAAGATGAATTAGTACAATATCAAGGTAACTTAACTATAGGTTAGCTGTGAAATTAACATTAGTCACTGTATATTCTTGCCACAAACAAAGATGGTGACCACAGTGAAAGACCAACATACCGTCCCAGAGTAAATATAAATAGAATAATTTAGCCCATATGCAAATGAACAGTTATGCCTGATCTACCAGCACCGCAGCAGAGGAAATGGAAATTTAACGTCAGGAGGAAGCAGGTGTAAAATTTGCGGCCCTGCTCTCAGAGTGGCAGCTGTTAGGCATCACTTTTGTCTGTTTGTAAAAATGTTTCTTGTGGATCCCTCAGTATTATGAAGGTACAATACTATGCTTCTGTTTTACAGTATATTCACCTTTCTAGCTGCTTTGAGATGAGATATTTTCAGTGTCGTTGTACTTTACACACAAACTGAGATCATTGTCTTTTCAAATGAAAGTAAATTTGTTTGTTGTTCCTTAAGGAGTCTGGGGAATCACACTTCCCCCCACGAGCCTCCTGCATTTTCAGAATCAGAATCAAAATCATCTTTAATGGCCAAGTATGTTTGAACATAAAGAACGATGACTCCAGTACAGAGGCTCTCAGTGTGTTTGTAAGGCAACAGGAAATAGAAAAGTAACAATAAAAACATACATATAAAAAAATAAACAATGTGTGCATTCAAATAGGAAATATGTGCTTCAAAAATCGGTAAAGAATGAGAGGAAAAGAGAAGCAGTATTTATACATATATATTCATTACAGTAAAAAAGGTTTCAGACTGATGTACATATATACAATGGTTCTTTTTACAGTTTATTGCACTGGGACGATGGCTGTGTTCTGTTATACAGTCATGGGTTAAGTGTTCATCAGTGTGAGGGCCCAAGGGAAGAAACCGTCCTTGTGCCTGGTTGTTTTACTGTACAGTGACCTGTAACGCCATCCAGAGGGGAGGAGTTCAAACTGTTTGTGTTCAGGGTGGTGTGGTGCTGTTCGTTTTATATTGAAAAGAGAAGACTAATAAGAGGATATATATTTCTCAATGTGAAATTTATTATGCATTAACGTATCAAAATTAACATGTGCACATGGAGCCTATCTGTTTAGGATAAACAAGCAAGACTAAACAGGAAAAGACTGTCCTCAACTGGTTGGTATACAATATTTGTATGAAAAAATGCTACTATCTACTTAACTCTCCCGTCATTGGTCCCCCATTCTGGTCTCGTCACTGGCGCGACCTTGTCCTGAAACAGACACTTTGCACAGCCCACAACGCTTCTTAGTATCTTATCAAACCTCAACTCCCCAGGCTTCAAGGAGCAGAGGGAATAATGGGCTCTTTTAGGAAAAGGCAACAAATCTAATGAAAACCTGTGGGATGATTAGACCTTGGAAAACCACTCAGTGCACCAGACTTTTTAGTCATAAGAGCCTGGAATATAACACGAGTTTTCAGTGTCTCCTACAAACAACTTATTTTCTCTTTATGTTGGTGAACATATAATTGGGTGAAAAATAACTACATAAACATATCTGTGACATGTAAGTATGTAAACTTATGTGTGCTATAAAATAAAACCATTCTTAAGTGCATAAAATAAAAATCACCCTAACAGTGGGAGGGGTCTGCTGAAATCTTCGCTGCCCAACTTTTCATGAGTTGTACAGGTCCTCCAAGGAGGGCAGGCTGGCACTGATGATTCTTTCTGCAGTCCTGACTGTCCGCTGGAGTCCGTTCCTGTCCTGTTTGGTTGAGGCAAACTGACCGAGAACAGAGAATGTAGAGCGTAGGAGATAAGTTGACAGGGTGACAGAGTACATCAGAGAACCTGACTGATGAAAATGTAAAAGGAGAGGTGGTAGAGCAGGAGTGGAGCAACTGTCCGTGTTTTCTCCACACCATTTAAAATACACCAGTTACCACCCTCCGGCCCGATGATGCCCCCTAATCCTGCTTTAACCACTTCTTACATTTGTCAAGTCAAAGGTCACAGTAGCAGGGAAGAGAGACGGTTACATTAACAAAGGTGCAACTTAATGGTTTTTGATGAGGCAACATGATGCCTCTGTAAGCAGGTGGTAGCTGCAACTGCACAACAGAGAGACAGTGACATGTCAGTGTTAAAGTGCAGTCAATCAGCACATGCAGATCAGTTATGCAGAACAACAACTTTAGTTTATCCCTCTACAATACTTCCAATATCTCCCTTTCTTACAATCTGCTTATTGATTACTTCAGTTAAATCAATAGGAAAACTGGAGTAAGTCTGGGTGTGCCTATAATGAAATGACTTCTACAATAAAGTGCACGTAGTTAATAATATGATATGTAACATTTCCAAAGCATTTTAAAGGCTTGCATTTCGTTTTATCTGTGGTCATGAAAATCACCTAAAATATGATGAAAATGCATTTAAAATATTCATAATGTGATATCTCCTTTTTTTTTTTTTTTTT